ATATATATATATATATATATATATATAAAATATATATATATATATATATATATATATATATATATATATATATATATATATATATATATATAGATAGAGAGAGAGAGCGCTCGCTCGCTCGAGTGTATGTGTATATATATATATATATATATATATATATATATATATATATATATATATATATATATATATATATATATATATATATATATATATATATATATATATATATTATAATTTACTTAAACTTATATATTATATACATAGAGATCAATCGATGATATAGTCTATATTTAATTATTTACATGTATATTGATAAATTAATTTATTGATATATTCATTTGAATTATTAATTAATATATATGGATTAGTATATATATTAATGAACTATAAATTTTATTATATTTCATTTGATTAACTGTTTATTACGAATCAAATAAAATGGACAACATATAATTATTCATTAATAAAATACATTAATATATATTCATAATACAAATATAACTGTAAATTTTTAAAAGATTTTGAGTATTATTATAAGAAAAAATACAAAGTTCAAAAATAGGTATATAATAAAAAAAAAATTGAGTGTTATTATTTTTCTTTAAAAAGGGCATGCAAAAAATATATTTCAGAAAATTAAATATATAAAATATATGTAGAATTTAGGATATTGTATGCATGAAATAATATATATACATGTGTTAATTTCTAAATCAATGTGTAAATATTAAATAGGAAAGACTTAAACACATACTAAAATAAAAATGACAACTAATCAATTTGAGATGCCACATAATTCAATTCAACTCCAACTAAGCAATTTAGAGGTATGACATCAACATTTGCCACATGTCATTCATATAATAGATCCTCTTTTTATATTATATATACATTCCTCGTGATTGGGTGGGCTAAATTATATAAATTAATAAATATGTATTATATGGCACTTTACAAATAAGCTCATTAATGGGTATTTATTTATAAAGGGGCCTAAACAATAAACTTTTTTACAAAAAAATCAACACATGGTCCAGATGTTTTTAAAAGACTAAAATAACCCATCACATTTTAATATGCTCCAACTTCATCCTATAGTTTAATTTAACCTCAATTTGACCCCAAATTTCACAAATTATTCAATTTTGACTCAAAACACAATTTTATGAATAATTTCGTCCGTGACCGCCGGTCTCCGGCGTTGACTCTTTTTTTCCCCTAATATTTTCGCCGGTGAACGGCGGTCTACGCCGGTCTTCGGCGTTGACTTTTTCGATTTTTTCTTCCACCGCCACTGGTTTCCGACGTTGACTTTTTCAAAAAAAAAAAGATTTTTTTTAACATCATTTTGCTCCCCGTTTAAACAACAATATTGTTGTGGTTGACAATAATATTAACAATATTACCATTAAACACAGTAAAATTAACTATACTACAGTTTAACATAGTAATATTGCTATATTAATCTGTAACACAGTAATATAAACACAACAAATGTCATTATCATGATGTAATAAAATAATATTAATATGTTTACCGTTCAACAAAGGTAAACATAATAAAAGGCCAAAAAATTAATATTAGTGTGGTTGACAGTAATATTACTGTAATAACTTTAATATTACCGTCAACACCACAGTAATATTATTGTGTTTACAGTAATATTGCAATAATAGACAGTAATATTATTACGTTACTCCGTCAATAACTCAAACAAAACGAAAATTCCAAAAAAAATATAATATTGACGTGGTTGACAGTAATATTATTGTGATTACAATTATTTTACTGTCAACGACCGTAATATAATTACATCGATTTGTCAACAAATCAAACTAAATAAAAAAAAAACAAAAAAAAAATAATAATATTATCGTTGACTCTAATTGTACTGTCAGTGGCAATATATTGTCACTGACAGTAAATCAACGTAATTATACTGTCACTGACAAATTTGTTCAATCTAAAAATATATTGTTAAATTTTCAACTTTGTAGTCTTCACCAACAATGATCATAATAGTTCGAACTAACAAATGGGTTGTCGTAATTGTCGTTACCCGAATTAGAGGAATCTCCAAATAAGTTGAAAGTTGTCAATGTATTTCTCTTCTTTTCACATAAAAAAATCTTGTGTTAGTGGAGAGAAGGAAGATGTATCCATTGTCATAATTTCATATCCCTTCTATCAATTTTGATATGCGACCGCATCACTGTCGTCGTTCATCCTCATTCACGTGTTGTATCCGTGCAAATTCTAAATAAAACTAGGCGAAACCTTTCATTTGCCTTTTTCTTGGTTCCAACCAGCATCCCACAACATCGGTTTAAAATTGGAGTCCCCACATCTCTATGTATAACCTACTGGGGAGTCGATTGGTTGAGAGGATTGAAAAGGACGATTCTATTGCAAATGGATCGGGTCCATTTTGTGGTTGTGTTGTAAATGCCAATCAATCTTTATTAACTACTCAGTAGTGCAATCCGAAAGATTTTTCGATAGGTTATGGTGGTAATCATAAGCTTCAACGCAAGTTTGTGTTGGGCCTGGGGACGTCCGCCCGCCACCTATCCTACCTCCGACCCCATGCCTAATTTCAGAATCTACAATAGTGCAGTAGCCATCAACGACTACGGATCAAATCTATGTTATATCAAATAAACAACATTTATCTACAAATCTAAGGGTTTAATAGGCTAAACCCTTAGTTTATGTACTAAAGAAGACGTATAAAAGGAAGGGGAAAAATAATAAGGGACTTCATTTTGCACAATTTAAGGCAGTCTGGGATTCATTTCATCTCGAATTTTACATAATAATTTATTGCATGAATTGAAAGTTTGAAAAAGTAATATCTCTTATTCTGACGGTCTACAATGACAATTTTGAATTACAATTCTTGATACAAGCACACAACGCGAATTGAATAATTAGGCAACGTTTGATATGGACAGAGAGTTGAAGAAGCATAAATATGTCGATGAAAATATATATATATCATGCTAGTGAGTATACCATTTTCTCAGAGAGCTCTGTCCCCACAGCCCTAACATATCTTTGTATCTGGCTTTCAAGAAACTTCCTCCGACTCGGATTAAATGCATGCCGTAGGTCCTTTAAAAGAAATCGGTAAAAAGGTCGGTTACATAATCGCACAACAAGAGTATAAAATTTTCTTTAAGATGTTTGCTCTGGTTATTAAATGTCAGTTTCTTGGAAAAATCGAAACAAGATCTGGCTTCTATTATAATTTAAATTCGGATTTTTCTACAGCATAATATAAAAATGATAATTAAATTGAGGAAGTGCATAATACCTTGAACCTCCGACGAACATCTGGTCTCACTCCAATCAAAACATTATTGAGATCGGCACCATTAGCTTCTGAGTCTGATTCGTTGTCAGAAAATCTGAGATCTTCCATACGACTACCAAGAACATTCAGTAGCAATGACTCCCCGTTTTGTGAAGTGGCATAATCAGATAAAATCACATATTTCTTTATGTCTAACAACGGCTTTGAAATATCGTATGGAACCCACCTGATAAAATGTTATGGTTCAAGTCAGAAACAATAACTAAACAATTTTAGTTTTTAAAATAAATAAAATTGGTAACACTTACTGGTAGCGAAAAGGGCAGAGGAGCTCCGATGGCCGATAAGCAGCTTTATACCTCATCTTGTTGCACGAGTGAATGTAATAGCCAAGATAATAGTACTGAAGGCTTGGGCAACGTAATTGAGTCTCGTTAACCCACTTAATTTCTTGTAAAGCCGAAAACTTGCCGAGTGATAAAAAGGCAAAATCAGGGTCCCAAAACAGATATTTACTAGACAAACACTTTGGCAGTACATCGACAACACCAACTGCAATTAATTTACCATCCACCAAATACTGTTGATGGAAAGAGCCAAACCCACAAGGAGGAACTGCAGCATTATTATCGTTCGGCGGAATATATATTAGAGGAGTGTCGACCAAGAATCTCTTGTACGAGCTTTCAGTGACATGATTGGGTGTGTCGTTATGCACTGTAAGTTGATATTTCTTGTATAGAGAGTATTCTTCGTAATCAAAGCTCGACTGTTTCAGCCGAATCTCGAACTTATGTCTTTGGCTCTCACGGGCCGCACAGATGATTGCTGTAGGGGCAGTTTTGGAAATTATGCCTCCTCGAGGGTCAATTAAATCTGATTGCTTCGTAAAAGAATAGAAATTTATGTGTCCATTGCAAGCTCTGACCGACAAACCACGAGCTTCTGCTGTCTGCTTCAAGTGGCTTGCCAAAATTTCAGCAATCGTTGTAGGTGAAAGCTCGCTCGATTTCGTGTGCGGAAAATCACTCTTCAATCGTCTTAGAGTAGCTGAAATTTGGAAGGCGATGTTGCATGAGAAAATGAGTTCTTCTGAATTTTCTGCTTGCAAGTTTCGTTTAGCTGGTACAACTCTTTTGATGGAAGCCTTTGGCAACTGTATGTCTGAAGGGAATTCCCCACTTTTCATGCATACTTGTACTGATTTATTAATCTGCTCTGACAAGAAATGCATAAACTGGTCGGTTTCGTCCTTGCCTCCACCATCAACTACCTGAGATTCTGTTGCAATATTGCACGATTCCCCAGAATCATTTAACTTGTCTGTTTTCTTCACATCTAATGTACCGTCTACAAATCTGCAAAAGTTTAATCGGCACTTCGTACATTACTCACTGGAAACATTCCAGAATAAAAAAGAAAGAAAGAAAGAAAAATTTAGAACGGAAAAAAACCAATTCAGAAAAAAAAAAAAAAAAAATAAATAAAAAAACAACTAAGTTATTGAGCTATGCATCAAATATACATATTGACATGCTAGAACACTTTCATGTGCAATTTATCTGAAGAAGAATCGGTGATAGTATGTGGAAATCCGAGAGAATACGAATGGCTATGAAGTATACCTTTGCATTCTTTTAGATACTCGAATTTGTTCTTTAGAAGGAACAAATTCACTAGCTTTGAGACGGATAGTATATGATGGGCAACATGATTTCTCCATATCAGGTTTGTACAAGTAACAGCCAGATCTTCTCCAACCTCTGTCAACGAGAGCTACATCGAAGTAAACTGTGACAAACTCATCCTACCCAACTCATAACGAATCTCGAAAAACAAATAAAGCATGACAATAAAAGGCACACACTTTAGATCTGCTGTTAAAATTTATCAAAGAAATTACAAACTACAGGCAATCTGAGAGTGGTTTCATTTAACAAGTGAAAACAACTTGATATCATGTGCGACTGAATGCACATAAATGGAACTCCACTTCCGACCAATAAAACAATAAAACAAAACACTTGTCTAAATATCTGTAGAAAATGCATTAACAGATTACGTAAACAAAATCAGCGAAAAAAGACATTATAACAAAAGGTGAAGCTCTCACTATTATTTATAGAGACGAAGCTAGAGACTAACCTTGATAGTCATCTACTGTCAAACTCTGCGACCGTAGACCTAAAATAGCAAAAAAAAATGTATGGAAATTCAGGAATAGAAGCACATTGCAGGAATGAGTAAGCTCGATTCTATTAGCAATACACAAGGGAGTTAGTTCAATAAAATAAAAAATTTAGAAATAACAAACATAAACTTCAATCAACAAATGCCGATGTACTTGAATTGCCAACATGCTACTCCATCGGTTGAAGTGTTCCTCAGATGTATAATATAATAATAGCATGGTGCTGAATTTAAGAATGATTTTCAAGTATACTAGTAATATTTTTCTAGTCGGAAACTAAATATCTTACATGTAGTAATGTTTATTGTACGTACCATACATCTGGTGCTGGAACCCCAAGCATTTCTTTGTATTTAACAACACCTTTTGCTTAAAAGATTTCCATATCGAGAATTACGATACAACTAACATGCATCGACTTTTTTAACTAGTCAAAAAGTCAAGTTACATGAACTTTGCAAGAGCGGTAAAGAACTATACACATATATTAGTTCATCTTCCCGAACAGCATAACTCAATTTATCTATTCTTCAAGGTTAGCTTATTTTGTTAAATACAGCTTCCTAAGTTGCAGGTTGACTTAGGTACTTATCAAAAATTAAATATTTTCACAATTATAATCATTTTTAGATGATCCAGCTCAATTTTTTTTTTTTTTTTTTGGAATTTCGATAAATAGCATATTTCATTGGTATGGTATAACTTGTTCAGACTAACCATGAGAAAGTTTGGTGAGTGCACCAGATTTACAGTAACCGCAGGTGCTTTCCCGGGGGCCGCAATCCCTCACCAGGCTTTCTCCTCTCCCACCATTTCCGCCGCCGCCGCCGCCGCCGCTGGTACTAGCTTCTTCGCCTCCCTTCTTCTTGGCCTCCGCCATAACCGATCAGCCAATTGGAATCAATTGTCTACTGATCGCACTTTTGTGAAGTAGGTAGGTGGATTCGAATTGTTTGACATTTCACGCTTCTTTCAATTCTTACTCCGTATGTATAATTTGTTAATTTTCTTTTTGGCCCTATTAGATTCTGAAATTATTGATACCTTCATTAAATAAAACTATAAAACAATTAACCCAAACTTTATTTATCTCGATAAGCTCTATAAATTTGACCAACAAAATTTTATTAATTTAGTGAAATAATAATTTGTCAGATAAATTAATAATTATTAATTAATTCATTTACTTATTAATAACTTATTAGTACTTCATAAAATTATTATTATCATTGTTGTTGATGTTGTCAATAAATTCAAACGAACTCATAAAATATGATGAAGTGCGTTGATAGTGAGGAGCAACAAGACGTTGAAGATGTAATTAGGATATGTGGTATATTTGATGTCCAACTCATCTTTTGTAACAAGTGGAAATCTAGTGGGATGGTGGATATTCAAATATTGCGAATATATTGATATGATGAGTCAGTACAATCGGAGGAAAGCAATAACCGATTTCTTCTTGGATAGCGTCCGAAACGATGAACTAGTAGACGTAAAGGGTTGCAGATCATTACTATTGGTACGTTTTTATGCATTCAATCTGTTACTTTGTGTAGCTACTATAGTAAACTAATTTCCTCTTATAAATGCACACTAATCAAAATGTTTTCTTTCTTGTTACATATCTAGTTTTGGATTTGTAAGCACACAACATTTGTCAAACCAGCCAGAGAGAACAGGTTCCGAAGGTTTCAACAATGGATCTAAACGATATAGTTGTGGTGCTATGAAATACAGCGATACAAGATATCCGGGGGAAATATGTGATGAGCGCATTAATACCTTCACAAAGAGAACAAGTTTTACTAAATGGGTATGCTGACACTGCAGTTTGTAACACCAAAAATGGCATTGACGATGAAGAAGACATCGTTTCCTCAACGGCCCAATACCTGTAAAATTGAAGACAATGTGGACGAGGACGGAGTTTCTAATGAACCTGGTGACCAATTTCATGCAACATCAGATGACACAAAAATGATGCCATCAATTGTAGCCTTGTTTTCACCGATGCATCAATCCGAGATCCAGTGAATCTAGCGGCCACCAGCAAATGTAAGTCAATCAGCCTACGAACTCGATCAAATGGGAATGTGCCAACAACAGGGAAATTGTTTCTAGATCTATCCGATACCGCTAACATTAATAAACATGATGCACCGACGCCCAACATGGAGAGTAGACAATCAATTCTAGAAGCAACATTGAAGCAGTATGAAACTGATATTGAGATCTAAAGCAAGTTTTCGAGTCGTCCAAGGCTCAAGCATATCGGTTACGAGCCGAGATTTTAAACATGCAAACGAAAACTGCATCTTTGGAGGAGTAACTTGCGCATCTATCAAACCTGCAAAACGTACGCCCCCACAACTGTTCACTTAAGGGGAAGCTTGCAAAACAACTGAACGAAGCCTACGTTAATGTTCAGAACGAACGACGACAACGGAATTTGGATATGCAAACTAAACTTACAAAGGTTCAAGCCGATAATGAGCTCTCATTAATCGGAAACACTGCTACAGAATAACTTCGAGTTATTATGGATGTGCTCAAAATTTGTGTGATACTCTGTGTCAAACTAACATCAAACTCGAAGAATAACTTTCGCAGTTGCATAGACAGCCTCCTACCTGTGCAAGTGGAAACACTACCATGTTCCCAAGCAAGGACGATTCGCCGTCCTTCGTTGTCCTAACACCAACTCAACACATCGTGAATGATATACCACTTACAAATATACCTCTAGCCAATCTCAGAACAATGGAGCTAGAATCAACTGTCCAAGTGATGCAGAAACAAGAACTGACATACACCAGCAAGATTTCAGAACAAGAGCACACAGTTAAAGAGCTTACCACAACACTTGAAAATCGTCCGGAGACAATTACAATTCTTAACGAGTCAGACGATGACTTCATAGACGAGGATCCAAGTTCAAAGAGGCCATTGAGGGACCCTAATTCGGTTATTTTTGCAAGGACAAGATCAAAAAATAAGATGTTACACCTTCCACCCTCAAAGCAATTCCAAAAAAAGGGGATGCATACAAGAAGCACGCCTATAAGGATATTTCATTTGAAGACAGAGAAACGATCAATACTTTAGCAACTCAAAGGGGAGTCGTTGAGTAAGTACCAACTATATTTTTTTTAAACTCCATAATTTACTGCAAGTTCACTATATTATGCTAAGTTTCCTCCTTTGTTGTGCATATTCTGGAATTACAAAAATACTACGCTCTAGTTTAAGTAAACAGTAATTAGCAAACTACATATAAACTTATGATAGTGAACATTTGTTATATATTTTAGTTTCTTGAGAGTCTCACATAATTGCAAATATGCGCAGTACAATAATTTAGAGACCGTCAGATAGCTACTAATCAGTCTTATCAAAAGATCTTTTTGTCCTCATCGAGAACCACTTTATATGGAGCAGTGTAAGCATGAGATATTCTAACTTCAAATTACATACCTTATATGATAAAAAGTTTGTTTACTTAAATTAAAAGAAATCTACAGTTAATCGACTGTTATTGCATCAAATTGAGCATGTATAAAAAAAATGGGGACTTCAAAACTGCAACATCCAACGATCTGAAAGGGACAAGCATCGTCCTATCTAGCATGTTATTGGCACTCATCGGTGTCTTAATGACTATTGTACGCATCTGACCGAACATAAATTAATTTTTTTTATATACATAATGTAGCCCTGTCTGACAACTTCCACCGAGAAAACGGTTATACCGCTTGTGGATATGTGTGCACAACGGCAACACAAGCACAAGCAAGAACCACTGCATGTGTTTGACAAACGACTAGGGTATTGGAGGTTTTATAACTCCTAACAACCGCGAAAGTCTCACAAACATGTATATACCGTAATGACGCCGAAGATATGGTATGTAGTTAACAAAATTGCCTTTCGTATACTCTATAAATGTTGTACACAAATTAAAATTTTAATATCTTAATTATTGCTTTTTTCATAAGGCATTTGTGGAAAAAAATAAAAATGATGTCAAATATGCTCTTGATGTACCAGATGATGAAGAAATTTAAGAAATGGATGAAACACCGCAGCATGTAAGCGAGTCTGGGGATTGTGCTATTGTAGTGCTCTATATCATCAAGATATACTTTATGAAGGAGCAAATACAAAAAAAAAAAAAAAACACTGCCGCAAAATAGATAAAGGACATGCATAGTGATTTGGTTAAGCTATTGTTGGAGTTGGGGAAAGGTAAAGACTACAGAAACAAACGCATAAAACTTAGCGATGACTAGCCTCATTTTAATTTTTCGGACTTCTGTTTTTTCTTTTTTTTTTGGTTTTTGTTTTTTGGTACATGAATTGACTATGTGTTTGGTTGTTTTGTTTACAATTAGGGAATGTGTACGGTATTATTCATGGACTTCTGTTAACTCTTAACTATTATGTGGTTGCGTTGTGAAATATTAAACAACTTCAAGTAAGCTATGTAATATGACTGCATGTACAGTCACTTCTGGAGTTTATGGCGAACTTCAAATTTCTATAGTACTGGCATATTATTTGTAGTTAACTACAATCTATTATAGTGAACTACCAATATTATACTAATTTACCAATATTATAGTAAACGTAAATCTTCTATTGATGTAATTTGTAGCAAACTTTAATTAATGTAGTTAACTACTAATTGTAAAGTAATATCAAAGCGTGTAGTAACCCATTGAAATAATATGTTGTAGATTCATAGTTAACTACTAAAATGCTTTCTGATAAACTTCAAATGTTATATTGAACTATTAAGGATTGTAATAAAACTTACTAAAATAACATGTAATATATTAATAGCTCAAAGATTATACTTTGTAGTATATTAATATTTTAAATATTATAGTGAACTTCGATATTCGATGCAACTATGGATTTAATTTGCAGAAAACTTCACTGAGTATAGTGAACTACTGTGCATTGTAGTAAACGTAAAATATTCTAGTTACGATTTTAATAAAAAAACAATGGCGAAATGAACAAATGAAAGTCACCATAATTTTCGAATAACAGATATATGCATGAAAAGATATATTTTTCATTTGGAAAAGGAAACAAGCCAAAAAAAAGAAGACAAAAACATAATCCAAAATAAAAGGTGGCAACACATTAGCCTGGTATTAAACAGAGTAACTATATTTATATAAAAAAGGCAAACCACAAATCTGAGAAATTTAAAGTACTTATTTTACAACCAACAAATTAATTAAAACAAACTCATAACATAAACCAACATATTAGAATGTAAAAATGTAGTAAATAGATTAACCGTATTAAATTGTCAACCACAACTTTGTAACTACTGTATCTATTAAATTTACAGCCAAACGATGTTCTTCAATTTCAAATTTCCAACCACAAATCTAATTATTAAACAAATATATAATGTCTAAGCAATTCAAATTAAAGTTTTCCATATTGCCAACAAATTCATCCTGAAAAATAATAACACACATTAAAAAAAAAAAAAAAAGCCTATGAAAAGGTAGAAAAACCAAAAATCCATGAAAAATTATTATCAAAAGGAAGATCCATAAAACCATAAATACTAAAAATTCGTAAAACCAATTATCTAATGTCAAAGCATTTCCTAGAATTTCAACGACATAGACAACAAACCAAATTCAAAACTATCCGCTTCGACTAGGCTCCATCATATATGTTTTGTGCACATCTGCTTGTTATGTTTCTCATACTCATTGCAACGGCCGCACTTCATGTTTCGAACAATATGCTCTCCTCTCGAAGGAATTCTCTTCATCCTTGGGCCTCCCACGTCTCGTATGGTAATCTAAAGGCTCCACCAACTTTGTTTTATGTCAACTACCACATTACCAAATGGTTGTAATAGCACATAGTATGTGTTCTTATACATCGAGACACGAAAGTACTCGTCAATGTGATAATAACCATCATTCCTATACATAAACAACATGGCGAC